TTGACGAGAAATTCATACCCGGCAAAAATCCCATTAGGTGAGTGGCTCATGCTGCTAATCCCAGCACTTTGGGTGGCTGAGGTGAGCAGATCATGAGGTCAGGAGTTCGAGACCAGCTTGGCAACATGGTGAAACCCCGTCCCTACTAAAAATACAAAAATTAGCCAGGTTTGGCGGTGGTCACCTGTAGTCCCAGTTTACTCAGGAGGCTGAGGCAGGAGAATCGCTTGAACCCAGGAGGCGGAGGTGCAGTGAGCTGAGATCACACCACTGCACTCCAGCCTGGTGACAGAGCAAGTCTCCATCTAGAAAAAAAAAAAAAAAATCCCATTGGGCACGGTGGCTCACACCTGTAATCCCAGCACTTTGGGGGCTGAGTGGGGGATCCCTTTGTTGTAGTTTTCCAGTTTTTTTGGGTTTTTTTTTTTTTTTTTTTTTGAGACGGAGTCTCGCTCTGTCGCCCAGGCTGGGAGTGCAGTGGCCGGATCTCAGCTCACTGCAAGCTCCGCCCCCCGGGTTCACGCCATTTCTGCCTCGCCTCCTGAGTACTGGCTACAGGCGCCGCCACCTCGCCCGGCTAGTTTTTGTATTTTTAGTAGAACAGGTTTCACCGTGTTAGCCAGGATGGTCTCGATCTCCTGACCTCGTGATCCGCCCGTCTCGGCCTCCCAAAGTGCTGGGATTACAGGCGTGAGCCACCGCGCCCGGCCGCTTTTCAGTTTTTAGTTTGTAAGCCCTGACTTTTCTACACTGATATTTTAGATTTCTTTTGGGGGGCGTCAGGGGCTGTTTTTGTTTTTGTTTTGTTTTTTCCTGAGACGGAGTCTTGCTCTGGTCCCCCAGGCTGGACTGCAGGGGCGCAATCTCGGCTCACTGCAAGCTCCGCCTCCCGCGGTTCAGGCCATTCTCCTGCCTCAGCCTCGGAGTAGCTGGGACTACAGGCGCCGCCACCACACCTGGCTAATTTTTTTATTTTTAGTAGAGACGGGTTTCACCATGTTAGCCTGCCTCAGCCTCCCAAAATGCTGGGATTACAGGCGTGAGTCACCACACCTGGACTGCTTTTCAGACTTTGACTTTAGGTTTGTGCAAACTTTCTTATCTAACTACCTAACTTTTCTTTCTCACCTTGAGGCCAGGAGTTTGAGACGAGCCTGGGCAACATAGGAAGACCCCCATTTCTTTTTTTTGTGAGTGCAGTGGTGTGATCTCAGCTCACTGCAACCTCCGCCTCCTGGGTTCAAGCGATTCTCCTGCCTCAGCCTCCTGAGTAACTGGGACTACAGGTGACCACCGCCAAACCTGGCTAATTTTTGTATTTTTAGTAGGGACGGGGTTTCACCATGTTGGCCAAGCTGGTCTCGAACTCCTGACCTCATGATCTGCTCACCTCAGCCACCCAAAGTGCTGGGATTACAGGCATGAGCCACTACACCTAATGGGATTTTTGCTTGAATCTGTCCTCACTGTATTCGGTGACCTCCCCATTTGATACTACAGGTCTCCCCTTCTCCCCATGTCACTTAGCCTCTCTGCTCTTTCTTATTCCATAGCTTTCTCACTTTCTCATGTTGTTATTTATTTATTTATTATTATATATATATTTTCTGAGAAAGAGTTTTGCCCTGTCGCCCACGTTAGAGTGCAGTGATATGATCTCGGCTTACTGCAGACTCCGCCTGCCCGGGTTCAAGCGATTCTCCTGCCTCAGCCTCCCGAGTAGCTGGGATTACAGGTGCTCACCACCGCACCCGGCTAATTTTTGTAGTTTTTTTTTTTTTTTTTTTTTGGGACGGAGTCTCGCTCTGTCGCCCAGGCTGGAGTGCGCGGCCGGATCTCAGCTCACTGCAAGCTCCGCCTCCCGGGTTCACGCCATTCTCCTGCCTCAGCCTCCGGAGTAGCTGGGACTACAGGCGCCGCCACCTCGGCCGGCTAGTTTTTTTGTATTTTTTAGTAGAGACGGGGTTTCACCGTGTTAGCCAGGATGGTCTTCATCTCCTGACCTCGTGATCCGCCCATCTCGGCCTCCCAAAGTGCTGGGATTACAGGCTTGAGCCACCGCGCCTGGCCAATTTTTGTAGTTTTTAGTAGAGACAGGGTTTCAACATCTTGGCCAGGCTGGTCTCGAACTCCTGACCTCAAGATCCACCCACCTTGGCCTCCCAAAGTGCTGGGATTACAGGCATGAGCCACTGCGCCTGGCCTATTTATTTATTTATTTATTGAGACAGAGTCTCACGCTGTGGCCCAGGCTGGAGTGCAGTGGCGCGATCTCGGCTCACTGCAACCTCCACCTTCCAGGTTCACGAGATTCTCCTGCGTCAGCCTCCCGAGTAGCTGAGACTACGGGCACCTGGCCCAGCTAATTTTTTGTATTTTTAGTAGAGATGGGGTTTCACCGTGTTAGCCAGGATGGTCTCGATCTCCTGATCTCGTGATCTGCCCACCTCAGCCTCCCAAAGTGCTCGGATTAGAGGCATGAGCCACTGCGCCCGGTAACGTTATTTTACTAAATCCTGTCTCTGAATGCAAGGGCTACCTGGCCTGTTTTTATTCACCATCACTGCAGGTTGCTGAGTAAATGCTGAATTAATGAATGCATCACTGAGTCAGTGACTGATTGCCTTCACACAGCAAGTGCTGGGCTGGGATCCTCCGTGAATCTGGGCAGGTGAGATTTGCAAAGACAGGACGGATCTGGGGTGGGGAGATACCCAGGCTAGGCTGGCACTCAGGGGAGAGGACAGAGGTGAAGGGACTTAATAAGCACTTAGAGATATGCCTAGCTCTACCTAAGACTCTCAGTTAACCGCCTAAAGTAGGGACACTTTTTGCCATTGCACAGGTAGGGAAACTGAGGCCCAAGGGCATTAACCCTGACCTGGCCTGGAGCCAACAGAGGAAACCCTGTACAGTTTGATGCACAAATATTTGTAGAGTTCCCACTAGGCTCCTCGACCGTCCCTAGGAGCCGAGCTGCCCCTTGACCCATTCCAGGCTTCAGTTTCCCCGCCCACACTTCGCCCCCGCCTCATGGGATTCTAAACTGTCGCCGCAACGTGGGAGTTGAACGGAAACTACAACTCCCAAGAGGCCGTGCGGCCAAAGACACACGAGAACTACGGAGGGAGAGTCTCGCGCAGCAAACTGCCGCTCTCGCAAGGCTCGGGCTGCCCTTGGCGCTGCCGATCCCGGAAGTTGCTGCATTCAGGCGTTCGCCGACGACAGCCCAGCGCGGGGCGGGGTCACGTGGAGGGGGCCTGATTGGGAGTCGGCGCAGGCGCAGTCCGCGCGGGTTCTCGCACGCAAAACGGGTGCGAGCGGCGGCGATGGACGACGAGGAGGAGACGTACCGGCTCTGGAAAATCCGCAAGACCATCATGCAGGTGAGCCGCGCGTGGTATTGGGGGCGGGGGCGCGAGCAGCAGGTGCAGGGGCCCGAGGCGAGGTCGAGCTCGGCGTCTCCTCGTGCTCCCGTCGGAGCAGCAGCGACAGAGGGCCTGGCCGACACGGGAGGCCCCGAGGCCGCCGGGGATCCCAGGCGCTGGGCCCGACCTGAGCCGGCAGCGGGGAAGGGAGGGGGTTTCGAGACGTCTGGGTGCGGGGCTTAGGGGTGGGCGGGCTGCTCGGGCTGGTGCGGCGCGCATGGCGGCGAGAGGCGGAAGGTGCGAATGGGGACGGGGGGCGCCCCCAAACCCTGCCCCTCTCTGTGATTCAGCGTCGCCATTTGTCCTTGCATCCTGAACCCCAGGGCATCTCAGCATCCGAGGCTGGCGGAGTTGGTGGTTGGGAATCAGCAGGCGAGCTGGGGCTTTCGATGGGGACGTGGAGCCCGGAACCCGTGCCTTGGGGTCTGAAACAGATGGAGGCCACTGGGCCGACTCGGGTTTGAAAACTGGGCAAAGGCCTGAGGGCCTGCGGTTCAGGGTCCTCCCTCAGCCGTTGGGGCCGTTTGGGAGCTTTTGTTTTGTCTTGCTTCCCCACCCCATGCCCTTGTCTTTAGCGAAGCCCCCGCAGCCTGATTCTTCTTCCTCCGGGCCGCAAACATTGTCAGCCTGAAGTCACGTCTGTTTCGGTCCCTGTCTTTTTTTTTTTTTTAAGAGACAAGCTCTCACTCTGTCGCCCAGGCTGCAGCGCAGTGGTGCAGTCATAGCTCACTGCATCCTTGAACTCCTGGCCTCAAGCAGCCCTCCTGCCTCGGCCTCCCTGAGCTCTGGGATCGCGGGCGTGACCCCCCACGCCCCGTCTTTGTCCCTGTCTTTAGGGTAGCTCTGCAAAGTGGTTTGGAGGGCTTTGCCCCCTGCCAGGTTCCTGTGAGGCTGGATGGACAGACGGTCTTGGTCAAGGCTGGACACCTCTGCGAGCCTCTCGGGTTCACGCTGGTCCCATCCTGTGGTGTGGGGCTGTGGGGGCCAGGATGGCTGTCATGGGGCACACAGCGAGTGTTCATTCCGTTTGCTCTTCACCTCTGTCCTCTGCAGCAGCCGCAGGTCTGACTTCTGGGTCACGAGCTCTGGCCGCCTTCCTGTCTCTGCCCTGGGGTCAGCTGGTTCTTTCTCTCTGCAGCTGTGCCACGACCGTGGCTACCTAGTGACCCAGGACGAGCTTGACCAGACACTGGAGGAGTTCAAAGCCCAATTTGGAGACAAGCCGAGTGAGGGGCGGCCGCGGCGCACTGACCTCACCGTGCTGGTGGCCCACAACGATGACCCCACCGACCAGATGTTTGTGTTCTTTCCAGGTGAGCAGCGGGTCCCGGGGGAGTTCTGGTGGAGCCGCCCGAGCACCTGCTGAGGAGCCGGCCGCTAGCACCCACCCCTCCCGCCTCGTGCCCAGCGTTTGATCCTCTGCCCAATCTGGGAGGAAAACTTCCCCCCCTCTTCCTTGCTGTGGGCGATGCTGTGGACCTCTGACCCCTCTCATGCGCAGCCTCTTTCTGGTTTCCCTCTCATCGGTCCCCTTTCTTCCTGCCAACCAGGAGAGTCCCATGGACCTCCCTACTCACCCGCAGCCCCTCATGACCTTTGCCCTACTTGTGTTCCTTGGCTCCCCCATCCTGGCCGTTGGGTGCACTTCCAGCTTCTTGGCCTGGCCCAGGAGGCCCCGTGTGGGTCAGCGCAGCCTCCTTGTGAGCTGTGGCCCCTGTCTGCCCCAGCCCATTCCTCTGCACCCCATGCCGCCTCTGCCCTGTCAGCATCCGCTACTCATCCCTCGAGGTTGTGCTCAGGCCGCTTTTCCCAGGACCCCTGGGACCCTCGGTTTCAGCACCTGCACCGTGGAAGTCTCCCCACCTGTCTGCCTCCCCAGTATGGCTCTAGAGCCCTCAGTGGTTGGGGGACTACCAGCGCCTAGGGACACAGCCGCGTGCCCAGAATTAATCAGTGGGGTGGACGGAGCGTGTCTGCCAAGCGGACCTGGTGATGCTACTGCTTTTTTTTTTTTGAAAGTCTCAATTCTGTCACCCAGGCTGAAGTGCAGTGGTGCCATTTCGGCTCGCTGCAGCCTCCACCTCCTGAGTTCAAAATTCTCCTGCCTCAGCTTCCTGAGTAGCTGAGATTGCAGGCACCCACCACCATACCTGGCTATTTTTTTTTTTTTTTTGTATTTTTGGTAGAGATGGGGTTTCACCATGTTGGCCAGGCTGCTTTCAAACTCCTGACTTCAGGTGATCTGCCTGCCTCGGCCTCCCAAAGTGCTGGAATTACAGGCGTGAGCCACTGCGCCTGGTCGTCGTCGTCTTTTTTTTTTTTTTTTGAGGCTGAGTCTCTCTCTGTGACCCAGGCTGGAGCGCAGTGGCGCAATCTCGGCTCACTGCAATCTCCATCTCCTGGGTTCAAGCAATCCTCCCACCTCAGCCTCCCACAAAAAGCTAGGTTTACAGGCACACACCATCTCATCTGGCTGCTTTTACTTTTTTTAGTAGTGTTTATTTATTTGTTTTTTTGAGACGGAATCTCGCTCTGTCGCCCAGGTTAGAGTGCAATGGCACAATCTTGGCTCACTGCACGCTCCTTCTCCCAGGTTCACACCATTCTCCTGCCTTAGTCTCCAGAGTAGCTGGGACTACAGGTGCCCGCCACCACGCCCAGCTAATTTTTTGTATTTTTAGTAGAAACGGGGTTTCACCGTGTTAGCCAGGATGGTCTCGATCTCCTTACGTTGTGATCCACCTGCCTCAGCCTCCCAAAGTGCTGGGATTGCAGGTGTGAGCCACCGTGCCTGGCCAATTTTTTGTACTGTTAATAGAGATGGGATTTCACGATGTTGGCCAGGCTGGTTTCGAACTCCTGACCTCAAGCAATCCACCTGCCTCAGCCTCCCAAAGTGCTTGGGTTACAGGTGTGTTACAGGTGTGAGCCACTGCACCCGGCCTCAGGTGACGCTTCTTTTTTTTTTTTTTTTTTTTTTTTTTTGAGACGGAGTCTCGCTCTGTGCCCCAGGCTGGAGTACAGTGGCGCGATCTCGGCTCACTGCAAGCTCCGCCTCCCGGGTTCACGCCATTCTCCTGCCTCAGCCTCCCGAGTAGCTGGGACTACAGGCGCCCGCCACCTCGCCCGGCTAATTTTCTTGTATTTTTTTAGTAGAGACGGGGTTTCACCGTATTAGCCAGGATGGTCTCGATCTCCTGACCTCGTGATCCGCCCGTCTCAGCCTCCCAAAGTGCTGGGATTACAGGCTTGAGCCACCGCGCCTGGCCAGGTGACGCTTCTTAAAGAGAGCATCCTGGGGTGTGAGATGTGCTTGTTGGACAGGTGGGTGCTGAGTCACCCCCCTCCCCAGGACTGCCCGGGGTGGGAGCCTCTCAGAGTTGAAGGTCTCTGCCTCTCGCTGGTCTCTGGGTGACTGAGGGGTGTCAGGCCCCTGTCCTTGTCTCTAGGTGAATGAGGTTTCGGCCCTTTCTTCCCCTGTCCTGGGATCCTGCAACTCAGGTCTCATTTTGCAAACGTGGAAGCTGAGGTCTGAGCAGGAGAAGCGCCTGTGTGGAATGGGGCTGGAACCCAGGTGCTCTGTGGTCTGGGTGGGCGAAGGCCAGGAGGGCCCAGGGTGGTGCAGGCCAGCACATTCTCTGTCTGCAGAGGAGCCCAAGGTGGGCATCAAGACCATCAAGGTGTACTGCCAGCGCATGCAGGAGGAGAACATCACGCGTGCCCTCATCGTGGTGCAGCAGGGCATGACGCCCTCCGCCAAGCAGGTGGGCACCCCCCGCCCCGCCCTTCCAGCCTCTGGCCCTCCCCAGCCTCCTCCCCCGAGCAGCGCCCACAGGCGGCTCACGTGCCTGGGGCCAGGCCCGTCAGGGTGCCCTGGAGGATGTGGCCCGGATGTCTGACAAGCCCTGACCACCTCCCTCCCACCCCGTCCATGGCCCCACTGCTGAACCCCAGCCCCACCCCAGGCAGCTGCCGTCCTCCCCTGGCGCTCGGGAGGGGCGTAAGGGCGGAGGGCACTATGCCTCTCTCGCCAGTGCCTGTGTGCTGCAGCCCTCGGCCTGGTGCAGCTTGCGGGAGCCGGAGGTTCTTTGTCCTGAGCCAATGTCCAGGGGGACGTGCAGAGGAGGCCCGGCACGGGGCGTGTTCCCCGTCTGTGTATTGGACACTCCTGAGCCAGGCTGCCGTACTGTGATGGGCAGTCAGCAGAGCAGTTTAGTCCCTGGCCCACCGGCTGCGGGGTTCACGCAGTCACGCAAAGCGGCACCCCGTATGGGGAAGAGGTGACCCTGCAGCTCTGAGGGCCGCCCCTGGAGGCGTGTGACGGATGGAAACACGTCCGAGTTTCCACGGCTTCAGCACTGCTCATGACAGAGGCCCTTGATGAGCGGAGAGGCTGGTGGGGGGGCTGGCAGTGGGGTTTTCTGATTTATGACGTGGGGTGTGTTGGGGCACACGAGTAAGCTCTATGTAGCTTGAGGCAGGAAATGGAGTTGGGGTTGTCTGGGCCCCTCCGGGCCGTGCCTGAGCGCCTCTCTCTTCCAGTCCCTGGTCGACATGGCCCCCAAGTACATCCTGGAGCAGTTTCTGCAGCAGGAGCTGCTCATCAACATCACGGAGCACGAGGTGGGCGCCCGCCGTGGGGCCGGCAGAGATGCAGGGTTTGCGGGTGGCCAGGAAGATGTGGGATCTGGGGCCCAGGGTGGGTGCTCCCGTTAGTGCGTGGAGAACAGGGGTTCTCAAAGGGTGGCCCGGGACCTGCAGCAGCCAAACCCGGGAGCTTCCTAGAAATGCAGATCCCCGGGCCCACCCCAGCCTGTAGAACGGGACTGTTGGGGGTGTGGAGGGACCCTAGTGCTACCGACATGGCAGGAGGGGTCCCAGCGGGAGGCGGCTGTGCCCTGCCCGTCTGCCTCAGAAGTCTCTGCAGCGGGGGTCGGGGGAGGGGGGTTTGGGGCTCTTGTCCATCTGGAGGCACAGGGGCTGTGGTGGCGCCTGGGAGTCGTGGGGTCTGGCCAGCCCTCGGTGATGCCTGGTGGCTTCCTCCCTCGGCAGCTGGTCCCTGAGCACGTTGTCATGACCAAGGAGGAGGTGACAGAGCTGCTGGCCCGATAGTATCCTTTCCAGCCCCCGTCCCTTGAGACTTCTGCGTCCCCCTCCCCCTCCACGGCTCCGTCTGGCATTTTCCTGACCCTGCTTCCCAGTAAGCTCCGAGAGAACCAGCTGCCCAGGATCCAGGCGGGGGACCCTGTGGCGCGCTACTTTGGGATAAAGCGTGGGCAGGTGAGCCTCGCAGGAAGAAGGGGCCCTGGGGCTGCTTTGAGCTGACCACTCAGAGAAGGGGCTTCTCTTCCTCCGCGACAGCCCCGCCCCTCAACCCAGGGCCTAGAGGGGACCTCGAGACCACACCCCCAATCTCCCCCTCTTAAAGCCAGGGTCACTAGGCCCAGAGAAGAGCGTGACCCAGGTTCCCGGGGAGCGGGTCCTGCAGCCCAGGGTCAGCATTTTGGGCCCCTGCCGGCCATCCCCAGCCCGTGGGCTGCCCGCCTGCTGTCTGGTGACTGCAGTGAGGCCCCTCAGGCGTTCCCAGCCCCTGCTCTCTGCCTCTGCAGGTGGTGAAGATCATCCGGCCCAGCGAGACGGCGGGCAGGTACATCACCTACCGGCTGGTGCAGTAGCCACCGCCTGACAGGTGAGACGGCCAGAGGGACAGGCACTGAGGTGGGGTCAGAGGCGGGGGTGTCATCCCCTCCAAGCTGTTCTCGCTTCGTCCAGCAGCAAACCCGTCCTAGCAGCAGCAGCCCAGCTGGGCCACCAGGCGCTCCCAGGACATCTCCAGCCCCCACCTGACTACGCGGGGCGTGCGTCTCCCCCACCACTGATCCACCTTAGAACCGAGAGACGGGCGGGGGTGTGGCGGGCCTTTCCAGAAGAGGGTTTAGAAACCTGCCCGGAGACCCCAGCGCTCGGAGAGGAGGGGCGGTTTCAGGCCAACCCTTCCCGGAGTGGGCACCTGGGGAGGGACTGGCCTCAGTCAGGAGCGGAACAGCCTTTGCTCATGTGAGAACCTCGCAGCTCCCCTGGACTCTGGTCCTGGCAGGCAGCCCCACTTCACACTCAGCCCAGGGGTGGGGCTCGGCCTGGTCTGATGCTGACACAGTTCCTTTGAGGTCAGAGCCACTGCCCACACCTGTGTGACCGCTGGGCATAAGTGAGCCGCCCAGCCTCTGCACTGTGGCCTGGGCCTCCTCCCGCCCGGCCTCCTGCACCTCCTTATCGCTCAGTAGTGGACGTTGGGCTGTCCTGGGCCGACTAGATCTGCCCCACTCGTGTGACCACCCTCCACTTCTTTCCCAGCCCCTAGAGGCAGACACACAGTGACCCCCATCCCTGCAGGACGGATGCCCCTGCCCTGCCAGAGTCCAGCCCCCCAGCTCTCCCGGCTGCTGCTGCTCTGGACTCCCCAAGGCAGGTGGCCTTCACCCAAGTTCTCCCGTCCTGGGGTGAGGCCCAGCCGGCCCCATTCACGTGTGGATTTGTGCAAGATGCAGCCTCAGAAGAGACAAAGCCCCTGAGGGAGGTCACCTGGGGGCAGTTGGTGCCGGGCCCCCTCTGTCGGGGGTTTGGGGTCCCGGTCTCCCACCAGCCACTGCTTCCTCCCGGGCTCTCAGCCTTCTACCCCTTGTCTTCCCTTCCTCGGGGGCCCTGATGCGTGGTGGCCCCCGCCCAGCCTCGGCTCCTTACTCCATTCACGGCTGTGCACACCCTCGAGCCACCAGGGTGTGAGATTCCAGCTCTGGAGTTTTCGGTTGTTGTAGGAGGTTGGGTGTTTTCAAACGTTAAAGATGTTTTGAGCAAATAAATTCGCTTGATATGAAAACCAGGCCTACTGAAAAGGTATTTAAGCAGGTGGCCTTGTGTCTCCCCAAGCACACGGAGGTCGGCTTGGCAGGCGGGCCCTCCTGCTGGCATTCTCTGGCCCTGGCTTCGGAGGTCAGCGCCTCCCCAGGCCCTCACCCCGCCCTCCCACTTGTGCTCCTGGATCAGGCGTGAGTGTGTCTCCCTCCCTTCCCTTCCCGTGAGGGTGTGGAGTAGTTCTCTGGTGTGTGCAGCTGTGGTTTGCGGCCAGTTCCTCGTATAGACGTTTGGGATCTGGCTCTACTTCCCCCTTTGTCTGATTTCAGAAGGCCTCGCCTGCCCAAGTTTAACGCAGCCGCCTGTGTTTATTTCACAAGAGCTTTATGAGGATGTAATTCACCCTTGTGTGATCGGTGGTCTGCAGGGCTCCCGACGCCCAGGCCGGGGATGGCGCAGTGCAGTCCCGCAGGGATCTTTAGGTTAAGTGTGATGGTGTGTGAGTGACAGGGACGGTGCTTCCCCTTCTCTCCAAATGTGTTTTCAAAATCGTTTCGGCCAAAGCAAGACAGACACAAAAGGACAAACACTGATTTCACTCCTAGGAGGTCGCTAGAGTCGTCAGAGCCCGGAAGCAGGATGGCGGTGCCCGGGGGTGGGGACGGGGATGGGGACAGCGTGTGTCATGTGCACAGTCGTAGTTTGGGAAGATGAGAACATTCTGGAGGCCAGGTGCGGTAGCTCACGCCTGTAATCCCAGCACTTTGGAGGCCGAGGTGGGCAGATCACTGGAGGTCAGGTGTTCGAGACCAGCCTGGCCAACATGGCAAAACCCTGTCTCTACTAAATGTGGTGGCTCATGCCTGTAATCCCAACTACTTGGGAGCTGAGGCAGGAGAATCTCTTGAACCCAGGAGGTGGAGGTTGCGGTGAGGCTCAAATAGGAGGATCGCTTGAGCTCGGGAGTTAAAAGACCAACCTGGGCAACACAGAGAAACCCCTCCCCTCTACAAAAAACTTAAAAGATTACCTGGGCACAGTGGCTCACACCTGTAATCCCAATACTTTGGGAGGCTGAGGCGGGAGGATCATTTGAGGCCAGGAAGTCAAGGCTGCAGTGAGCTACGATTGTGCTACCATACTCCAGCTTGGGCCGCAGGGTTACACCCTGTCTCAAACAAAACGCAGTTCCACAGGCGTATGGGCCACGTTTCCAGTGCTTGGTGGCCACGTGGGGCTGGCGTGTGGAACCTCAGAGCTCGAGAACACGTCCGTCATCTGGAACGTTCTCCTGGGCTGCCCTGGGCTGCAGGTGGACACGACATGGTCATTCGGTGCCTGAGCGTCGGCACAGCCTGTCGTGAAGACCACCTGGGCTCCCACCTCGCGGGGCCCCGTGGCAGGGGGTTTCCCTTCCTCACATCTCCCCTGGGAGGAGGCCCAGGGCCACGCTGCGGGGCTGTGTCCCCTCCCTGGCCCCTTCCAGGCTGGCAGCTGCCACAGAAAACACCCGATTAAAACCTTTATTTCAGCAAAATACACGTGCCTGTGAAAAACTACACGGCGGCTTCCGAGAGGCCCCACTGTGTACCTCGGCCCCAGTGGCCACACCTGGTGTTCTGGAAAAGGGAGTCTAGGGCCAGTCTTCAGGCCCTGCCGGACTGCACCCTGGACACCGCACCAGACCCCAGCCTCCGCCCCCATCCACAGCTCCCAGAATGGTTTCCGGAGTCCCTGCAACAGACCTGTGAGAGGCGGGGCAGGGCCTGCCATCCCTGTGATGACCGGGGCATGCGCCGGGCAGGGACAGCTTCCTCCATCCACACAGCCCTGTGGGCACCAACAAGGCCACTGCGACTTCACAACACAGCAGTGTTCCTCAGCTCAGCTGGGCCGGGGTGCAGGGGAGAGCGCAGGGCACACTCTGCGGCCCCGAGGCCCTTGTGCTCCTGGAAGCTTCTGGGAGGCGGCGTGTGCTGCCAGGACAACCAAGTCCAGGTGCTCTCAGCAGCGACTCCAGGACAGGACCCCAGGACGGCGCATAGAGCCCCCCTGGAGGGACAGGAGCAGGCAAGAGAGAAGCCACCTGTGGTCCCGGCCCCGCCCCAGCTCACACGAACTCAGGCCGCCTCTCCCTGCAGGAGCCCAGCGCGATCCGCCCGCCACGGAGCCTCATGGTGGGCAGTGGGGCCTGCAGCACGTTGTTGGACTGGTTTGTGTTGAATCCTGAGAGCTGCTGGGCCGGGTCGTCCTCGTCCCCGTCCTCCCGGGCGGTGGCCTCCAGCTGCTCCTCGCTGCCGCTGTGGCTACCAGAAGCCTCCTCCAGGCTGGCCTCACTCTGCTGCTGCTCCAGGAGGCTGAGGTGCCGCAGGGCACTGGCCTCCGAGGACGACAGCAGCTCGGACGCCTCCTCTAGGTCCGAGTCCGAGTCGTTGGACACAACTCGGGATTCTGAGAAAGGGAGACAGAGATGGAGGAGAGGCAGAGATGGGGATAGACAGATGCAGGAGAGACAGGACAGGTGGGGAGAGACAGACAGGGAGAGAGATGGGGAGACAGATGGAGGGGAGAGAGATGGAGGGGAGAGAGATGGAGGAGAGACAGATGGAGGGGAGAGAGATGGAGGAGAGACAGATGGAGGGGAGAGAGATGGAGGAGAGACAGATGGAGGGGAGAGAGATGGAGGGGAGAGAGATGGAAAAGACGGAGGAGAGGTGGGGAGACAGATGGAGGAGAGACAGATGGGGAGAGAGATGGAGGAGAGAGAGATGGAGGAGAGAGAGATGGAGGAGAGGTGGGGAGACAGACGGAGGAGAGACAGATGGGGAGAGAGAGATGAAGAGGTGGGGAGACGGAGGAGAGAGATGGAGGAGAGGTGGGGAGACGGAGGAGAGAGATGGCGAGAGACAGATGGAGGAGAGACAGATGGGGAGAGAGATGGAGGAGAGAGAGATGGAGGAGAGGTGGGGAGACAGACGGAGGAGACAGATGGGGGGAGACAGACGGAGGAGAGGTGGGGAGACGGAGGAGAGAGATGGCAGGAGAGAGATGGCGAGAGACAGATGGAGGAGAGAGATGGAGGAGCGGGGGGAGAGACGGAAGAGAGATGAGAGAGACAAGGGGAGGGACAGAGAGAGAGGACGGAGTGAGGAGGAGAGAGATGGGGAAGAGACAGAATGGGGGAGGAAAGGAGACAGGGGTGTTGACAGAGCCTGGCTGTGTGTCCCCACCTAAACCTCATCTTGTAGCTCCCCTAACTCCCGCGTGTTGTGGGAGGATCTGGTGGGAGGTGGCTGAATCGCGGAGGAGAGTCTTTCTGGGCTGCTCTCGTGATGTGAATGGTTTTCACAAGATCTGATGGTCTAAAAAGTAGAGTTTCCCGACACAAGCTCTCCCTTTGCCTGCCACCATCCATGCAAGACGTGACTCGCTCCTTGTTTTCCGCCACGATTGTGAGGCCTTCCCACCTACATGAACTGTAACTCCACTAAACCTCTTTCTTTTGTAAATTGCCCAGCCTCAGGTATTTCTCTCTTTTTGAGACCAGAGTCTCGCTCTGTTGCCCAGGCTGGAGGGCAGTGGCACGATCTCGGCTCACTGCAACCTCCGCCTCCCGGGTTCAAGCAATTCTCCTGCCTCAGCCTCCTGAGTAGCTGGGACTACAGGCACCTGTCACCACGGCTAATTTTTGTATTTTTAGTAGAGACCGGGTTTCACCATGTTGGTCAGGCTGGTCTCAAACTCCTGACCTCAAGTGATCCACCTTGGCCTCCCAAAGTGCTGGGATTACAGGCGTGAGGCACCGCGCCTGGCCTCAGGTGTTTATCAGCAGTGTGAAAACAGACTAATACAGAGGTACCGTAATTAGATGCGGCACTCAGGGCTGGCTGCCTCTGACAGGTGGCGCCAGCCCCACCTGAGTCAAACCCCCAGCCCCGTGCCCTTCTCTAGAAAATGAGGCTGCTGCAGGAAAGGCACTTAGCCTGGCCAGGTGCCTGGTGCACCTGGAGCCTTACACAGCGTCAGCCGCACGTTCACATTCCCGGTTTTCGAGTGCGGGGTAGGCGCCTCAAAAGGCACTGCCTTGCCTCTGTTTGCAGCTGGTTAAAAGAAAATGAACGAGTAGCTCACAGGTGTGGTCTCCGTGGCAGACAAAATCCACAGAACGTGCTGCGCCGTGGACCCTGCCACGTGTGCACAACTAGATCATGGCACCTGCGCCCACGGGTGGCACACGCTGGCCTCCCTTGGGGCTGTTCGGGCAGCCACACACTCACCTCTGCACCCGTCCTCCGCAGCCTCCTGCAGGGGGTACACCACCCCCTCGCCCGCCTCCAGGTACGGCACCTGGATGACCACCTCAGCTCGCTGGCTGGATGACTCGTCCTGCAAGGGCAGAAAGGAAGTCAGGGAGGGGCCAGGGCTCCATTTTCCATGTTACAAATTAACAAACACACCACACAGCCCCTAACAGCTACCGACACCCGCTGCTGCCCAGGCTGTGACCACACTGGCCGTTCCCACAAGGCACATGGGACGGGAATTTCTGAAATTCCGCTCCTCTCGCCACCCACGTCTGCTCCTGTCCCCATCTGTGGTTTCTCCCGAGAGCTTCAAGAGCACAGGACGGAAAGGCCATACCCAGCACAGACACCGTCAGAGCTGTGGGGCCCACTGTCCTGAGACCGCACCCCAGGCGGTCTGTCCTCAGCCAAGAGCAAACCCGGGAAACTGCACCCACTAAACGCCCAGGGAAGATGGATTGAAAAAAATACGAGAGGCCGGGCGCGGTGGCTCACACCTGTAATCCCAGCACTTCAAGAGGCCAAGGCGGGGTGTGGATCACTTGAGGTCAGGAATTCGAGACCAGCCTGGCCAACAAAGCGAAACCCCATCTCTGTTAAAAATACAAAAATTAGCCGGGCATGGTGGCGGGCGCCTATAGTCCCAGCCACTCGGGAGACTGAGGCAGGAGAATCGCTTGAACCTCGGCAGCGGAGATTGTGGTGGGCTGAGATCGTCCCA